AAAAAAAAAAAAGAAATATGGAGCCACTATATCTCTGTTTAACCCTTCTGTTAAGTAATAGCTTTGTCTTAGAACTTAGAAGTTTGTCCTTGAAAGTTTTTGTAACCAGAGTTAGTTAACTGATCTATAGAAGCCTTTTGAAATATTCGTAACCCAAAACGAATTACCTGTTACTATGTAAATCTGTTACCCCTGGCAACCGATCTCTGTACCTATAAATACCCATGTGAAACTGTATTCTGGGCCTTATGATTAATGGGGATATCCTAAGGACCCCTGAATATCCCACTTTGCCTTTTATTTGTATAAATCTGTAAAACTATACCTTTGTCTCTGTGTATTCTTTTATTTCTATTATTTTCTTATCCTTTGCGACGAACCCTAACAAAGGGACCCGATTTTTTGCTGGGAGTGTAGCTAACTCCCCACAGGTGATGTGTCCATCTCAGGATATCACGTCTGGAGGCCCACGATATCCGTCTCTCCCTTGTTGGTGATGTCGATTTTGATCATCTAGTTAAGGTGTTGTCCAGTTCTCCACTATATCATCCTGAAAGAGTTATTTTTTTTACCAAATGCATACATGCATAAAACTCATAAGTCTAGTTATTATGGTGAATGTTCATATTTGGAACTTATTGACAAATTGCTATTTTAATTGATCTGCAGAAACTTTCTCATTCTTTGAAACTATAGATTACAGTGTAACCATTGTTATTTATTTTTTCTCTTTTTTTCTTTTCCATTAAAAACTATAGAAGCAGCTGTGCCCCCATGGATTGACAGTAATGATGAAGAAACAATTCAACAACAAATCTTGGCCTTATCAGCTGTAAGTATCTTGTGATACCCTGGATAGAACATACTTTCTTCCTATCATGGTGCATCTCTGTTGATATGACTTTATCCTTAGAAGAATTTTATCCTTCTATACAGTTTTTTAAATATTTTGAGGTGTTAGGAATAGAATGTACACATCAACTTTCACTATTTTTTTTTTTGCTAGCTTTTAATTTGCTTATCCTTAAGTTCGTTTTTCATAATGTAAAAGTATAGCTACTATGTGAAATAATTCTTTCAGCTTTAAAAAGGTTCTTTCTATTATTAAGATAATCTTTTGAGCTATGCTATCATGAAGTTGTTAGGCAGCATTCTAATTCTTGTGAATGAAATGATAGTATTCTATGTTTTGTCTTTAACTATATGTATTTGTTGGAAACTAAAGTTGACAGTGATAAAATTCCATATGCTGGCCCACAAAAATTTATCTCAGGATTTCAGAGGGAATGTAGCAATACCAGTTAACAATTGTGTAGCATGTGACGGTTGCAGAAAGCCCTTTCTCACACATTCTCTTTTGAACCTCACAGCATGTCTGCGAAGTTGCTAGGGGCTTTTATCCCCATTGCACAGGTGAGGACTGAGACTCTCAAATGTCACACTCACTTTTCATCTGTGTTCTCCATTGGGCTGTGAACTCTTAGGGAGCAAAGGCCGGCCTTGATCTCTTTATCGTCAACACCCAGCACACCTCATAACACGACTCTATGAATAAATATTTTTACTATTATCGGTGGTTTTAAAGCTTTTGTTTTTAACCCACTCTCTTTTTTTTTTTTTTTTGAGA